AAACTATTATAGCAACAATTTTTGTTAGATATGTAACACTGATTCAATTGGAGTTGATAAATTCAAGATAAATTTATGATTTCAAGCATCTATGCTAGCAAACATAATAGAAAAATAAAAGATTTTCACACATCTTATTTAGCACCCAATCATCACAGACAAGTATGCAATTATATATATATATATATATATACACGTACATACATACATACATACGTACGTTATGTACAAAGTTGACGCATATTTAAAGAAAATACGTTGTGAAAGCGAATGCCTCTAATTTATCAACATTATATTTAATATTTGTATTGTGTCATAATTTTGGCAGCATTAATGTCTTCATTTTCCGCTTTAGAACTGAGCATATGAATAAATAGAAAAGCTTAGGATTTTCTAGTGACATTCGCTTGAATGAATATGTACATCATATTTCACGACATGGGAGGCCATTGATCTCCCCAAACTAATTTCTATTATCCTTTAAATAACTGTTCTTTATGACAAATCATTGTTCGTGTACTGACATACAGTCACACAAAACCTTCGGAGTTTTCCTCTACTTTTTCGCTTTCTTTTTGCTTAGATTGTTAACTTAATGCTTCTACACTCTTGTGTGTGCGTGAAATTTCATCAGCCTCTTTTGATTGTATGTGTATGGTTTCATGTTCTTATAAGGATATCGCACACATAAGTTTAAAAATGTAACTGATTAAAATCCTGCTCGTTTCTAAGTTTATAGTTCTGCTAGAGTGTCGAGATAATCCCTGTGGCAAATGACTCCTCACGCGCATTTGTGTTTCTTCCATTGACCCAAACTACAGCTTCCTTTGCAGTTATGCTCAGAGGGATTTAGAGTTTGGTGGGAGGGTGTACAATCTTGCCTGATCAGTCGCTAAAACAATCAAATACGCCCAAACTCTCGGACGATATTGGGAAAATGTTTTAAACAAATGGAAATAACAAATGATTTACTGTTTATTTTCAAACTCAAATTTTACACAAAAATTGGGTAGAAAAAGTGCTATTTCTATTCCAAAACACTTTCCGGCATTATGACAAAATAGCCTCAGTATTCGTTTGTTTGGCTATCTTCTTCACCCCATAGAGAACTCGTCAGTACCTTCCACTTATAAACGTCTATCTGACATGTAAGCTATATATTTTATCGCTTTAAAAAAAGTATTTTGGGTATTGTCGCATCAGCTAAAAATGCCAAAGAAATTAAAGCAATGTAAAACATTTTTGATAATGAAGTACATGTGAGATCTGTTAGTTTTTTTTCATTTGTCCTGCCTAACTATAAATTAGTAAATGAATGTATAAATTGTTGTTTCAAACAGAACAAAACCTAATTACAAATCTAATCTTTCCAAAAATGAACATTAATTAAATTGGATCTCAAAATCACTCTGAGCCAATTATTCTGACAAATCCCTTATTTTTCACTGTCAATCATCTTCCATAGGAGTAGATAGGTTCGCCTATCTTCTGGTTCACAATCCTCACTGGTCTTTTAAATTTATCCATTATTTCCTGTTGAGGAGTGGGTTTCCGGTACGTTCTAAATTCTTTTTTTGTTCTCTTTCATTCCCAGTACCACCTTGCATCTTAATTGCATCATCGATTTGGTTGTGGGTGAATTGATTAATAAAGAAAAAAAATCAATTA